GGGGGGGGGGGGCGGAGAAGACTTAACAACTCCAATTCCTTGAAGTTGATACGAGAAGCAAACAGAAAGGACATTGTTGGGTGGGAGGGGGGAGAGGGAGGAGGGAGGGGGGTTTCGGTAATGGGCCACAATAATCAACCTCATTGTATATCGACAAAATAAAATTTAAAAAAAAATAAAAAAGAGAAAAAAAAATTAACAGGTAACATACAAACAGAAATACCAGGCAAAGACGCACAAAAAAGCCAAAACGTTTTTCATGTGCATACAGAAGGCTAGAAACTTGAGCGAGGTAAACTCTGTTAAGACACTATATGGGTCTCTGAATATGGCAGGCAGAATAATGCTCTCCTCAAAGACTTCTATGCCCTAATCACTAGAACCTGTGACTATATTACCTTACATGGCAAAAGATACTTTGCAGATGTAATTAAATTAATGATCTAGAGATGGAGAGACTATCCTGGATTATCTGGGCAGGCTCAATGTAATCACAAGGGCCCCTAAAAAAGTGGGAGAAGGAGGCAGAAAGGTCCAAGTCAGAGAATGATTTGAAGATGGAGGAAGGGGCCATGCGTCAAGGAATGCAGGCAGCCTCTCTTCCAGCAGAGGCTGAAAAGAGCAAGGAAACAGATTCTCCACCTGAGCCTCCAGATGGAACTTAGCCCTGCGGACACCTTGATTTTAGCCAAATTAGACCCATTTTGGACCTCTAACCTCCAGAGCTATAAGATAATACATTTTTGTTTTAAGCCACTAAGTTTGTAGTAACTTGTTTTGGCAGTGACAGATAATGAATTAAAAACCTTTAGAAAAATCACTTGCCTCTGAACTTTTTAAGTTGACATTTTAAACAGGACTAGTAAAGTCAACCCACCACAGTGATGGGGTGAGAAACACTTACAGCAAGTACACATGGGGCCTGTTAAAATGCACCCCTATTTCCTGTCGTTCTTTCCTTCCTGCTTATCCTAGTGTGCAGAAAGAAAAAAGAAAAGAAAAGACTTAAATGAGTTAAAACAGGAATAAGCAAACAATCTATTTGAAAATATGGTAAACGCCCTTATATTACAGTACACTAGCAACAAGTTAAAAAACGAAACCATTGTCACCTTGTTAAAGAAATATCGAAAGCAGAATTTTATGCTACTTAAGGTAGTCATAAACTTTATAAAAATAAAATCAAAGTAAAATGCCAACATTGAAAATGGGATGGAAAGGAGACAGCGCTATTACAGAGTAACTTTGCAAAGACTCTTGTAGGTCTGGATTTTTGTTTTGTTCTGTTCTTGAATCCCAGTGGGATTCAGAGACCAGTTAAATGTATTTATTCTGCAAATATGCATCCCATGCCTATGACACCCAGCACTTTTGTGGGTGCTGAGAATATTCAGAAGAGCCAGGCACGATGCCCTGCTTCCAGGAGCTCTTGCCTGGTGGGGAGTGTCAGAGTATAATTTGGGAGAATGAATTTTTAAAGAAATAATATTGTGTTTGAGGCCATAAAAAAGGCCAAGAGTACTATTGCACTTGAAGAATAAAAGAAAGATGACCTTGGAAATTTCAAGCCGACTTGACACAGTCAGCTGCCTCCCAAGTGTGCATTCCTCTCTACCTAAGAGGTTCCAGATTTTATTCCAGCATCTCTATAGCCCCCACAGAGCCCTGTGGCTCAGGGGAAAGTTAACACCACCCTCTACTCCAGAAGTGGATCTGGATTTGTCTAAACGAGTCATGGTAAGCACAAGAATTCAGCCTGAAGCCAAGGAGTGCACGGGGACTACCCTGGAGAGGGTTACTGGTCAGGGGCAAGCACATGTTGTAAACTAAAAAGGGGTCTCTCACTGAGGATAAATTATACTTCTAAGTAAATTCAAATTAGAAAGAATGGCAATAGATCCATCCTAAATAGGAAAGACAACAAGGCACAAAGAGAATCAGTTAAGGAAGCATATGGTATTTTTACCTCTCTACTAAGATATTATGGCTTGATTTGCAAAATAAGGACAACTTTGAAAAATAAGTGACAAACTCCTCTCTCTTTCTCTCTAGAGTAGAATCATTAACTATCTGATGTAAGAACTAATCCGCAGCTTCTGGTTTATAAATATATATTCAGCGGGCATGACCTTGAGGCAAACACTGTTCAAGAGCCCCTTTTTACCTACAGGTTAGTTATTTTATCCCTCCCGCTACCAGGGACACCTGGTAATCTGACCTGCTTTGAAGCTTTACAGGGAAAAATTTTGCCAAACTCTAACAAGGGCCAAACCCCTTCCTGGTGTCATTTCATGGTACTCAAGTGTTATATGACATTATACATACTCAGCGACAATCATTTCCCTACTCTAGAGATTTACCTGAGACCGAGTTCAATACTTAATCCCAGTAAACAATTGAAAAGATTGTCAAGGATGAAAGCAAACTGCTTTGGTGTTACATATTATTAGCATCTTTAGACATGCTTTTTACAATCTCTCAGAAAGTTTTTTTGGGGGAAGAGCTAAATATTCTCTAAATCTTCTTTGGAACAGAAGAACCAAAGGAGAAATTTAAAATATCAGCATGCATATAGGACACCCAAAGGATTTTTTTATATACTTATTTGTATATGTGATTACATAGCTTGAGAATCAATATTTACTTCCAACTTCTTGGGGGAATAGATGTACATAAATAAAGCAGTAGTACTTGTTTTTCAGAACCAGAAGCTAAGTTTCCTTTGTAGAAAATCTCAGTGTGTATGGCTTCAAAACATCTTTGGAAATAAAAAGAGTTTCAGTTCTTGCGTTAGTCCCACTGGGAACAATCAGAGAAAGAAGGAACAGGGGTTAGAAATGGTCATGGTAGGTACAGTGAATGGCAGAGAGAAGACAGGTAAGAGGCAAGAGGAAGGAACCCAAGCCCCAGAACTCAACTTCCTATTTCCAGCTGGCCACACACAGGGGCCAATGCCCAGGTGTTGGGGGCAGTTGTTGGGGCACACTCAGAAGGCAGGTTACCAACTCATGTTTTAGACAAAAAATCAGGAAAGCATTGAACAATTAGGTGGGTGGAGAGGCACTCTTACAAGTAAAATGCTTCCTAGTATGCATGTCACCTGTCACCCAACCAAATGAAGTGTCTGGTCAACAGGGGAGGATAAAATGGAAATTACCCACATATACATCATTACTAATTGCCAAATGTCACTGATAGTCTCATGACTGTATCTTAATTATTGGCATATTTTCCTGAAAGTTAAAAAAAAAAACAAAAAATGTTTTCAAAGGGTCTCTTGTGATCTCAGTGTCTCAATCCCATTTTCTCTTTTTGCTCATAAGTTCTTCAAATTCATATTTTCCTAAAATGGGCTTTTCAGTAATTTAGCCTTTTGGTTGCAGAAGAGCTTCTCTATGTTGCCAATATCAGAGTATTCAGTGTCCTCTGCAAGGCTGCCTGCAATGTATAAATAAATCAGGAAAGAAAGGGAGCCATGCAGATTGAGTGCATGGTGTGAGAGAGAAAGCACTGAGAATGAATGTATG